ATTGTAATGATTTCTTTTTTTAAAAAACAAATTGTTTTGTTTAATTTTTTTTTTTAAATTAAATAACTAATTTTTGTCTTGTGAACTAAAAGTTTATGTTTGGCAAATAACTTCTTTATTTGCACACATCAGAAATCTTTTGTTGTGATTTTGGGTCCTGCCCATGATGTCATGTGAGAATCACAAGCAAAACTTTGAGTCAAACAAAAACTTAGAATATCAAGAAAAGATTTCTGACATGCACAAATAAGTTTGTTTTGCAAAAAAAATTCACTTCATGAGACAAATGTGTGATTTAAATGTTTAAAAAAGTTGTAAGCAAAACTCAGTAGGCTTTTCCCATAGTGACATGCATTAACAATTCAATTTTTGCTTTTGTTTTTTTGTCTTTTTCTGCAGTTCCACCTTAAAGTTTGATGCAGCTCTGCTTTCCTGAAAGGACCATCTTCATCTCCATTGCAAGTGTAGCAAACAGGCAGCTCTTTTTTTTATAGATTACAGTCCACTAAAAGGTTGCATTATGCCCTTGTTTATATTTTTAATAGTGTAATTCTGTAAAGACAAAATATGTCTGGTGGTCCAGCTCTGATTTACATATCTTGCTAAATTGCGGGTTTGAATATTCCAAAACTTTCCTATGACAAAATAGACCTGCAGAAAGAAATTACTAATAAAATATCTTACATATGCATAGTTGTATGATCTATATAGAGATTTACCTTAGCTTTGATTGTATATCTCACAATTTTGTAATTTATCATTGTTTATTAAACTCTGAAAGCTTTGTGGCTTTAATATTCTGTCCTAGAATGCGGTGAGATGTGCCCTTTTTTTTTTTAGCACCTGCCCCTTTAGTGGCCTCTGCACGGCCCTGAATATGTCCATCTTACTTGTGAAATGTTGTCTGTGGAGCCCTCACATCAATAATCCATCTATCAGAACAACAATATCCCTCAGTGCTGAGGCATCTTCGATCCAAATGACTGCAGGACCATCAGGAGCTGCAGATCCTGTTAATCAACCAGAGATACAATCCAGGTGTGGCAGAAGGGAAACACCTGAAACATGCAGGACAGGTGTTCTATTTATCAGTTCTACCCTTAAATCCGTCCTACCTTGTGGTAATGCGCATGCGCACATCGATGCTACGTCACATACTGCTTACTCAGCAGATTTCTTATAAATACGTCCTACCTGTTACGGTAAGTTTTATTTAATTTATACTTGGCTTTCATTAAGCTGCTCTATTACGTAATGTTTTTAGTTTACATTTTTTCTTTTAACCCAGAAAAGGATTTAGATCAGCCACTCTTTAGCTTATTTTATCAGAAACTGTAGTTTCACTATTTAGAAATGGAATTAGATACTTAGCAACCCTGAACAGAACTTAGTTCACATACGTTAGAACATTAGATTCTAAAGTATTTCTTTCCTTTGGTTTATTTTGTTTGTATTTTCTTTAAACTCATGTAAAGCTCTTTGAACTGCATAAATAAAATTACCTTACATGACAGCAGCTTGTAAATATATTTATAGATGGCTTTAGTTTGCGTCTGCAATGTTGTTACTGTAAACAAGTTATTGTTTGGCGGTTAATTTTGTGGCTATTTTGTCCTTATACTTAGTAACTCTGAAGGTGGATACCAGCTGACGTTTATCTGCTTCATGATGCGTTTACAGACCCTTAGAAAGTGGGATGTTTCACCTCTCTTCAGGTCCCAACAGGGAAACATGGCGCCTCATTTTTGTGAACAGACGAAGCCTGCAGAGGTTTCAACTTAGTTTAATCAGAAACTCCCAGCAAAGCATTTTATCCATAATCATTGAGGGCAGAAGAGACTAGAGAGAAATGTTTTTAAAAAGTACAAAAATCACAAAGAAAATGCAACAACAGCTGTAAAAACTCACAACGTTAAACGCCTCAGAGTAAAACAGAAAGACCCGATGCTTTAAAATAAACTTCCTGAGAAAAAACTGGATCCTTTGTTTACACCTAAAATCTGATTTTATCAACTATTAATTCATCTGGAGGCACCACACCACACAGATGGGGTACAAGTGCCACCAAACCCTGATGATACAGATTCTACACCAACCAGGAATTAATTGGGAAGCACTTTGTCACCATCTAGTGGTCAGATCATGGCATAATAAATATGGAATGATATGTTTCAATAAAACAATCTGTACTTCATGAACCCATCAGTTTTTCTGGATAAATGAGGCAATGAAGCAGGAAGCTGAGGGGCCGAGCGCGTGGCTCTGAGGAACCTGAGCCAACCAGTGGAATTACTCCAAGTTATGGAGTCAAATGTTTCCTGATGACCAGACGGAAAAGAAATGTCCTAGTTTTCATTTACTGACGGGTTTTACTCCCTGATCGTGATGTCACTTCCTCCTGGCAGCTTGGATTCATTTCCTGATTGAATGTTTTCTGAGCAGATGGTGCAGCAGTGGAAGATCAGGATTAGGAAGAAAGTGAGAGTGATTTTATTTTGGCGGGTCAGTCCAGGAACAGCAGTGGGGAGTTTTGTAGTTTAGCTCATGAAGCAGCTGATCTGTAACCATGCCGACCACAGACGGATTCTGCTCAGACTCCCGTCTGGTCCCTGATCCAGTGCCGGAACCGGGTGACCCGGGTGTAGACGCCGGGTTTGTTCCTGAGGGCGCAGCCTTCGCCCCAGCTGACCACACCCGCCACAAAGACCCGCCCACTGGGGTTGGTGACGGCCAGCGGCCCGCCCGAGTCGCCCTGCAGGGGGCGACAGAGGAAACCATGACTCTGGTTCTGATGAGTCCAAATCCTCTAGCTTAGGTTCTGCAGAGTCCTGATCCATATTCTATTGAAATCATGACATGCTTTCCTTCCTCAGCAGGCCCCGCTCCCCTGCCCGGCAGGTCCGGTTCTGACCCGGCTGGGCTCCAGGAACCCGGCCTCACCTGACAGGCGTCCACGCCTCCGGCCAGCACCCCGGCACACAGCATCCGGTCGCTGAGCGGGTCCCGCAGCAGAGTCCGACACACGGTGCTGTTGATGATCCGGACCCGGGCTTTCTGCAGAACCCTGGCGCCGGCACCTGCAGAACACGTAAACGGGTCGGGTTCATCGCTGCAACATCACCTTCTGTCATTACAACGGCGTCGCTTTATTTTTAAAGTTCTTATGGCTCCAACAGCAGCTGGACAGGAAACGCAAAAACAGTTTTCACCCCTTCAAAATAAGAGCATGACTGAACGGCTTGAAACATTTTTAGCAGTCAGTAACCAAAACTTCACACAGATGTTTGTCCAACTAAGTTTAAAAGATAAATTAAAATTGTACACAGGATTGGAAAATGCGAAGGAAAGCAACAGAACATAACGGCAAGAGGCTAACTGTACCCTAAATGTAGGCTAATGTAAGCTATCTGGAGGCTAACTGTACCCTAAATGTAGGCTAATGTAAGCTATCTGGAGGCTAACTGTACCCTAAATGTAGGCTAATGTAAGCTATCTGGAGGCTAA